AAAGGGTAAATTAAGGAGGCTATCTCCATGTACACTTTCCTGCATTTAACAATAACTACTTGACCTGAGGTAGAAGAACTTAAGTGGCATTGTAGCTCACTCCCAAGCCCAGATGGAAGGGGCCGGCTTTTGCTGTAGTGAGAAAGGCCTGGGTTACTTGTGTTCTGGCTACTACAATGCTCCTTCCTGCCCTATGATCAGAAAGATACAAGAATGGAGGAAGAGTGAGTTAAACGTTTCTCCTCCATTAACTCTGTGGCTGATTACCAATGTGCCCATGCTTATTCTCTGGCTCAGGATTCCGTAAAGTGCTTCAAATATCAGAAGTGGTTCTTCCACATTGAGAATCGAGAATTTCATAGGCCAACCAGGAGACTAGTTTTTATCACTTTAGCAAAAGTTTCTGAAGTATTTTTAAAAATAATGGTTAGAAGTAAATGTGTAGTTGGTAATGTATTAGTTACTATCTGGATTCTGAGCCTAATCTATTTGTTCAGTCTGCATTTATTTAACATTATTGTTCCCAGGCACATTCTAGGCACTGGAGGTGGGTGATATGTGGAAATCTCTGCCCTTGTGACATTATGGTGGAATAACAGAGGAGGGGACAGGGTGGGTAGAACAGGGTAGGGAGAAAGTGAGTTGCAAACTAAAGTGATACAGCCAGAAATAATGATGCAGTGCCATATAAGCAAAGTTTTGATGGTGATGGAGGGGGTTGTGCTGGTATCTAGGGAAAGCTTTCCAGTTAGAGAGAAAGGAAAGTGAAGAGGTTCTAAGGAAGAGGAAGTACAGTTGGCAAGTTTAGGGGCAGCATGGGGTGGGGAGTGCAGCTGGAACAGAGTGAGCAAGGAAGAGTGTGCCTTAGTCCATGAGGAAGGCTATGCAAATGTCAAAAACCAGTGTATTAGTTACTTTTCTGTCACTGTGACAGAAACACCATTACCAGGGAACTTATAAAAGGAAGAGTTTATTTAACGCACAGTTCCAAAGGGGCAAGAGTTCATCATGGCCAGGAGGCACAGTGGCAGAGGTGGCTGGAGGAATGGAAGCTAAAGGCTCTTATCTTCAAGCAGACATAGAATGCAAGAGAGTGACTAGAAATCCAGCAAGGCTTAAAAACTCTCTAAGCCCACCCCCAGTGACGTGCTTCCTCCAGAATGGCCATACCTTCTAAGACCTCCCAAAATAGCATCATCAACTGGGGACAAAATGTCTGAATACTTAGAGTCTATGGGGGACATTCTCATTCAAACCACAACCAAGTAGTTTATTAATAAAAATATTATTTCTCACTAGGCAAGGTGGTGCATGCCTTTAATACCAGCACTCTGGAAGCAGAGGATCTTGTGGGAGTAAGTCCAGCTTGATCTACATAGTGAATTCCAGGGCAGCTGGGGCTACAGGAAGACCCTATCTCAAAAAGCAACAACAAAAAAATATTTTTCACTGTTCTGTAACATATAAAAGTCCCAGATCAAGGCAGATTCAGTGTCTGGTGGGGGCCTTCTTTGTGACTCATACATTGTGACTTCCTACTGTGTCCTGACATGATATAAGGGGTAAGAAGTCTCTGCCAGGCTTCTTTCATAAGGCATTATTAACCCCATTCATGTGGTCTTTATCTTGTGGCCTGATTATCTTCCAAAGGCCTCAACTCCTAATACTATCAATGAGGGTTAGGATTTCAACACAGGAATTTTGTAGAGAAAACAGATACTTAGCTCATAGCAGAAAATAAGAAAGGCTGATTTCTTATCCCATGGTATCATGGGACTTGTCCTAGGGAGAGGTAAAGAAACATCTGCTCACTCCACATAGGGAAGACACCAGCAGACCGATGAGACAATTCCAGCCAGCTCCAGCTTCATGAACCAATGAGTTTACTGGGGTTACTTACAGGATCATGGGGACTCAAAAGCAGCTATAGCCCAGGAAGTCCTTTGGGCAACTTAGAGGCAGCTATACCACAGAGGAGTCCTGTCCACTGCAAGGATAACTTGAAAAGTATGCCACTGAAGAATCTCCTGGACAGCTCATGAACAGCTATGCTGCAGAAGAATCTTCTGCCCTGGTCCATTGTGGAGGGAGCTGTTTCTTCCAGGTTGGACACGAGCTCCAACAGGAAGATTGGGTAGAGGTGGGGGCTTATAGGCTATATAGGGGTTTGACTTAAATTAAAAAAAAACTTTATCGCATGTGTGCATGATGAGGATGTAGAGATTCTGGGTGAATTTTCAAAGTGAAGTCAAGAGGTTCAGAAGTGACTGGACACAGGTCATGAGAACAAGAGAATCAACGCCAACTTGAGCTTCAGAGATGATTTCTATTGATATGTATGGAAGTTGTTTTCCACTGTCCATCTAAGTGACCTAGCAGATTAATGTATGCAATTTCCTATAAAACACACTGACCAATACATAAGCCACCTGACCCATGTGGCCAAGAGGATCCCTCTACAATCCTCATCCATCTCGTGACACCAACTCTTGTTCCCATCTAATGAGTTGTGTATGTTCCGAGAGCTGATGACTTCTTTCAAAACTCTTTATTCTATTTCTTCTTTAATAATTATGTTGAAAGTCTGGAGATGTGGCTCAGTAAGTAAGAATGCTTACTTTACAAGCATGAGGATGCAGGTTTGAATCCCTAGCACTCATGTAAAAAGCCAGGTATGCATGCGTGTACCTGTAGTGTCAACACTGAGGGAATAATGCAGGCAGATCACAGAGCTTGCTAGCCAACCAGCTGAGACCCTGACTTAAGGCAATAAGGTGGAGAATGACAGAGGAAAACACTCGACATTCTGGTCTGGCCTCTGCATGTATACATGGGCACATGTACATACACACTTACATGCATGTACTATACATACAGCACACAAACATATACAACATACAACTAAGCTGATGGATTAAATATAATGCAAAAAATAGAATATGATTTTCAAAACGAATTGAAGGTTTTTTTAATAGATGTTGATAAAGGTGAATCTAAAAGAAATACTGTTGAATATAAAGCTGTAGAAATAGAGGGAACATGATGAAAACCGACATGATTATGCCCCCAGATTACTTTGAAAATATTTTTAAATTATTTCTGTGAAGAAATTAAAATTAGAACTAGCCTCCATGGATACCCAAATTCACCAGGCCTCAAGTTCCTTATGTAATAATTATTTATAATGCCTAAAATTCAATATAAATAATATATATATGTAACAATTGTTATATTGCATTTTCTGGGAAATAATGCTATGAAAAAAAATCTGTACATATGATGAAAGTTAAAAAATATTTTCCATACAACATCGCTTGAATTCGCAGATGTGAAAGCCATAGATATGGAGGGTCAGCAGATTATAACAGATGTTTACAGAAAGCATTCTTTTCCTCCTTCTCTTCAGGTCTTTTCTCTATTAACTGAGAAACTGTTCATTCAAATCTCATTCAAAGTGGCTCTGCGTCACTGCATGTTATCAGTTATACACCCTAAATGTTCATACCAACAGCATTTGCTTTTCTTTAAAAGAAGAAAGAACATTCTATTTCTCCACACTGGGGCATGTGGGAGCAAGCAAAGATCTTGGGTTTTTGTTTCTGATGTATTTTGTGAAGAATTAACTTGTCTTCAAATCAACCTTTAAATTTAGCCTGTCAGTGACAAAAATATACAACCTGAAAGATGGTAGTTAGTCATACAGCCCAGTGTAGACTTCTAAAAGCTGCAACTCTATCATTGACTGAATCTTCTGCATGCAACTGAATACTAAAAGAACATAATTTCCTTTATGTTAGAGATATCTTCATTCTCACATCCATCATAACATTATTCACAGCAGTCAAGATATGGACTCCCTCTAAGTGCACACCAGTGTGTGTTACAGATCCTAGGAGGTTCATTGATTGGAACTTTGCCATTATGAAGAGCTGGAGTCTCACTGCAATCTAAAATACTCAAACCCAGAAACAGAGAGTGGAATGGTGAATATGAATGGTTGAGGCAGAGGGGAGTTGGAAAGATATTGACAACGGGAAACAGAATTTCAGTTAGGTAGGAAGAATAATTGTACAACATAGTGACTATAGTTAACAGTAATGCACTGTGTACTTCAAGATTACTAGCAATATGGGGCTGGAGAGATGGCTCAGCAGTTAAGAACACTGGCCATTCTTGCAGAAGACCCAGGTTCGAATCCCAGCACCCACATGGCAGCTAACAACTGTCTGTAACTCCAGATCCAGGAGCTCCATCAGCCTCTTCTGTCCTCTGAGGGCATTGCACGAAACAGGTGCATTTACCTACATGCAGGCAATACACGCATACACATAAAAAGATTATTAGCAATAGATTTTAAGAGTCCTCACCACAAAAGGTGAGGTATTATCTTGATGTAGTATGCATACCTTAAGGCATCATGCACAAAGTAAATATACACAAGTTGTTTGTCAATTTATTTTTTTCAATTTAATAATAGAAGAAATAAGCAAGCTTGATTTATTTTCTATCATTTATTAATTGTAAGGATGCTGTAGAAACAGCCATTGGCCCCCAGAGGGCACATGATGGAAAGAAGTCAACATTGAAGGTTTGTTGGATGCCTCCAGTTGACACTACCAGGGTTGCCAAAGAGCATAGTACCAGTGGTCTATGCCAAGTTCTGAGAAAGGTTGTATTGGTTTTGTTGCAAAGTATAGTAAATATGCAAGAATTATAGAGGCCTCTTTCTCCATACCCTTCTGTTTAACCCATCCATCTATCTGTCTGTCTGCATATCTAGCTATGTATCTATGTATCTATCTATGTATCTATGTATCTATGTATGTATCTATGTATGTATGTATGTATGTATGTATGTATGTATGTATGTATCATCTATCTATCTATCTATCTATCTATCTATCTATCTATCTATCTATCTATCATCTATCTGCTTTCTCCCTCCCTTAATATCCATCATCCATCCATCTATCCATCCATCCATCCATCCATCCATCCATCCATCCATCCACTTGTTCCCTCCCTTTTTCTCCTCACTCTTTGCGTTTTTCCCCCTCCTTTCTGTTTCCCAGTCTCTAACTTCTTCCCTGCTTTTTCTAAAGTGGGAGGGAGCCCACAGTGTCTCTGCCTTTCATTTTTATAAGAAAATAAAAGAACACTATGGTAAGTACATGAACTTGGCTACATTATGCAGATCCACAGATCTAGATGTTCTTTCACAAGCTAAAACCACAGATTTCTCTTTCAAGACAAGAAATAAAACCCAAGCAAATCCTATCTGGATTTCCCCCAACATTTCAGTGATGATTCTGGTATAGCTTAGATATTTAGTCATTCTAATCATTCTAATTGAACTGAAGTTTTCCTCATTCTTCAATATTTTATTGACATATTCCAAGCAACATTAACAATGCAATATTCAGTGTAAGAATATCATATACCAATTTAATTGCAGCATGATCATCATTAATTTACTGAAATTAACATTATGAACACATAATGAACACTAATGAGAAAAATGTTCCTCAAAAGAGGAAGGTGAATATCAATAGGACAAAACTATCTTCAAGAGATAGAGATAAAAAGAAACAGTTTGAGTTTGGTTTGTGGGTAAACTGAGGTCAGAGTCCTATGTCTATGTCTCCAAAGGTGCAAGGTTTTGGATGAGGAGGCTCAGAAACGTCTCCAGCTGCTTCCTGGACCTGTATGCAATCAGTCCTCCCTTGTTGGCCCAGAGATCCACCCCAGAAGCACCTTCGTTTTCCACATGGTATAGCAACTGTGGCACATCCACCCCCGTTTCTGGATTTCTTTCCAAGCACTCTTTCATGTCTACAATGCCCCCACCCATGGCCCTCAGAATGGCATGAGCAGCACAAGAGTCCCACTTGTAGGTGGTATCCTCTGAAAAGATATAAATGTCAACCAGGCCTTGGACAACACAGAGGCTCTTGTAACCAGCCCCTGCTGCCGGGAAGATGCTACCTCCACATATGCGCGACAGTGCGTCTTTGATAGTCTCTTTTTCGCTTGTACTGATGACTGCAGAAAAGGGACGGGAGAACTCTGCATCTAAGCTGGTGTTTTCAGTCTGGGCTTCACTGCTGTTTCTTTTTGAGATGCTGAGCTTCAGGGAATGAATGTTGGTCCCCATGTAAGACAGGCCCCAGTAGCACTGTCCCTTCCACCTGCAAAGAACAGTTTCAGACAAGCATGCTTGGTTTTCATTATTTATGTTGCTTTCAATTGTAACAATGTGAAAAATGCATAGTGCATCAAAGCCAGCCTCAAGCTTAAGTGGTGGCTCTGAGCCTGGAAATGAACACTGAGTTGCTAATTCATTTCCAGAAGTTGCTGGCATGCTTGCAGCTGCCTGTGTTGTTACAGAGAGGAGTGCTGGTATTTTACTTCATTCTCATATCCAGCTGAGCTAATACTATACAATCCTTATAAAGAATTGTTAAGAAATTTCAAAGATTTTGGATTCTGTGCAGATGTACTCATGGCCTAAAAATGGAGGCGGCTGATATAGAATTTAGTGCCACAGATTCAGGGATGAGCCACCTGGGTTTGTATGCAGGTTCTACTACTTGATAAATGGGCCTTAGCCATATATTTAATGTCTCTAAGCCTATTCCCTCATCTGTAAATAGAGTACCTGACACAGAGGCTAAGTGGAGCACTGATGTATGGAAGGTGTCATTACTATTGCACATGAGTCCACCTTACTTGGTATTAGAAGCCCAAGAGGGGCTAGTGAATGAGAAAATCAAAAAGAGTAAGCCAATGACAATAGGCTTGCTATAAGGATTGTAAGACATTTGTAAGTAGATCTAGATGTTCATTTTTTTCCCCTGTGAAACTTTAAATGACAAAAGCAGTAATGAACATTTGCAGTGTTTTTAGAGGCCAGAATCACACAGATAGTATAGTGTTACCCTAGTTGGATATGAGAATGAAGTAAAATCCCAGCACTCCTCTCTGCAACAACACAGGCAGCTGTGAGCATGCCAGTAACTTCAGGAAATGAATTAGCAACTCAATATTAATTTCCAGGCTCAGAGTCATCACTTACAGCTTGAGGCTGGCCTTGAAGTTGTGATCCTCCTGCCTCAGCTTCTGGAGTGCTGAGATTACAGGTGTATACTACCATGCCCAGTATTTAATGACCTTTTAAACATTACCAAAACATATTTGGTTTAGAAGAAAACTGGGGTAGAGGAAAAACATTAAAATTCCAGAGGTTTAAACTTATAACAATTAAGGATTAAATGATCCTTAACTGAAGTAACTCAATGATTAATAAAATTTGGTAGTCCTAAATAGTGGAAAGTGTGAGGTATTTTCAATGAAAAACTAAAAACGCTTCTTCTACTTAGACTCTGCTCTGCCCAGGAGTCAAACTCTCAGCACAGAGGCAATAGGGGTCCTGGTAATTCTCCATGCTATAATCAGAGGTCAGTAGAAATGGTCAATGGAGGAAGCAGGAAGGAAAATGATGCTGACAGCATTCCGAAATAGTTAGGTCTAACCCTGGCCGTATCTGTCAGTCTTTCCATTCAATACTTTTCACATTTTGTTTTGAATTTATTCTAACATTATGCAGAATTTCAACTGGTGATAGTAGTAACATCTACCTTGTTCCAGTGTATTGGAAAACAGTGTTTAGCACCATTCTCTTCTGGATTTGAGTGGATTCTGGAAACAGGGAATAGGATTGCTGTATCCCAAATATGAAGCCCTGATTTCTCCAGGACGGTATTTATTTCTTTTAAAACTGATATCATTGTCACTTAGTCCCAAATAAAACTATGCCACACCCAGGACTGAAGATAGAAAGCACCCCAATTTAAATATGGGCTTCTAGTGGGAACACCCCAAACCAGCCAATCATGGGAATGTCCTATAGAGGGCCAGCCCTAACAACATGCAAAGATGAGGCCAGAAGTTCTCAAAACCAAAAATATTCATCTTTTACCTGAGAGTAGTTAGGTCTTGAGACACAAAGGGCTGATTAATGACTCCCATCAGGGGCATGCCTGTCTGGATGTCATAGACACCAATTAAAATGGTGACACACTGAAGTCCGCTAGGGAAAATGCCTTGGTTGGATTTAATGTTGGCAGAACCTTTAATATACTGATAGGTTGAATCTGAAAAATAAAAATTCAGGTAGCGATTGTTTAGAAGATAATGGTAAATATATCTAGAAGCATTGTCTTTAAAACTTCTCTTTTGTACTAATTGGTAACCAATCAGATTTCACCTTCAGATATTGCTTCTGCTGAATTATTTGAACTCTCATACTTCACGCTTAAGTTGCTTATGTTTCATTCTTCTGGGTATATGAGAACTCTTCTTTTTTTAATTGGTGTTTTGAAACAGGGTTTCTATATAGTACAGGCTTGTTTCTAACTCAAGATCTTCCTGCCTCCACCTTTTAGATTCTGGGCTAGAAGGCATGTGCCACCACATCTGACTTATATGAGAACTCTTGAAGGGACAGGACATGTTTATAATCCTAAGGAATCTAGCATAGCATATTGCATATCAAAAGGACTCAAAAACAGTTCCGGATGGGCTCAGTGGGTAAAGTGCTTCCCATACAGGCATGGGCACTCAAATTAGTGCACAGTGAAGATGTACCTGGCCAAAGATCCAGAGAGTCAGATAAACATAGTTTAGGGTGGATCCCAGAGACAGGAGATTCCTGTCCTTCAGAACTGTAACAGATATCAATTTACCTTTAGGTGATCAGAAATTGGGGTAAAGATTCTTAATGTTCATACATAATCTACTGGTTAAATATTATGTAGTTATCTGACTAAAGGAAAGCCATTTCTTTAAACACTGTGTTAATGTGCTTGTAGGATAGGATGGTCAGGCAGTTCAGCTCATTGTAATGAGTTCTTATAACTGTGCTGGGAAAAATACACCAGGAAGATGGGAGAGGAAAGATTTCATTTTTTAACACTTAAAAAAATGATGGATTGGTGCTGGAGAGATGGATCAGTGGTTAAGAGCAATGGCTACTCTTGTAGTGGGTTCAATTCCCAGCACCCATATGGCTGCTAACAACTGTTTGTAGCTCCAGTTCCAGGGGAACCTGACACCCTCTTCTGACCTTCCACCATGACATGGGTGCCCTTACATACATGCAGGCAATATACTCATACACATAAAAGTAATAAAAATATTTTTTTTAGTTTTTATGTGTATGGGTATTTTGCCTGTATATATATATATTCTCCTTGAGCCACCATGTGGGTATTAGGAACTGAACCCAGATCCTCTGCAAGAGCAGCCAGGGCTGTTAACCCCTGAGCCATCTCTCCTACCCCCTTGTTTATAATTTTAAATTTTTAAATTAAAAATTAATTCTCTGGCTAAGTGTGGTGGCACATGCCTTTAATCCCAGCACTCAGGAGGCAGAAGCAGACAGATCTCTGTGAGATCAAGGCCAGTCTGGTCTACATAGTGAGTTCTAGGCCAACTGGGGCTATAGGAAGACCCTGTCTCAAAACACACACACACACACACACACACACACACACACACACAAATTTTCTAGACAGGGCATGGCCATTGTTTTTAGGAATTCAGAGCAGCTATGGTTACCTGTACAAGACCTGCATAAGCTCAAGCCAGCCAAAATTAAAACATGAATGAGGAAGGAGCTCACAAGCCCCACCCCTAAATGAGGAGCTATTGGTAGTTGATTGATAGTTGCTGGGGGAGAGAAAATCATTCTCCTTTGAGGGTGTGCTTATTGGTAGGTGCCTGTGCTCCAGTGAATGGCCCCACATACATTCACTTATGGGAAGCACTAATTGGGCTTAGGGGGTTATCAAAAAAAAAAAAAAAAAAAAAAGAGGGACACATGTTAGGGAAGTCTGGGGGAGTAGTTGGAGGGAGGAAATGGGGGAAGGAATAAAATCACATTTCATTATATGAAATTCTCAGAATAATTAAAACAATAGTTTTTGTCTCTTGAAACTTCCCTCTCCCCTTAAGCAAAGCAAAGGAGCCAAAGCATACACAGCAAACACATGCTCCTACACTTACCTATGGGATCCACCCAAATTCCCAGAATGTCTTGTGGAATACTGACTTCCAGGGAATCCAGAGTGGGATCAGTTAAGTCTACATCCTGGTGAACCACCTTAGCTAAAGCTTCAGATGCTTGTGTGTTGCCATTAAGGACTCTGCTAAGAAGTTCTGCCGTTTCTCCCTCTGTAGCACACAGCTCCATGGTAATCTTTTCCCCTAGAATAAAGACAGACTGAGGCCATTACATCTCAGAAGTTTCAGTGGTAAATCATCAATGGGAGTAGTAGGGAGGGGAAAAAGGAGCCTGTGCTCTTAGGCCAGGTGAAGACTTAAATCTGACTGACTGTCAAGATCACCTAGGGCACTGGTGACCCAATGTTCTACATGTCAATGGGAGAGAATGGGCTCCAAGACTCTCAAGGCCTGCTCCCCAGAAAAAAGTCTTCATGGGAACAACCTTGCATCCAGTTTAAGGAGATCCGCAGACCAATAGATGATTAGTCTTTTATTTGGTTAGTTTTGCTTTTGACTTTTAGTATGCATAGATTACTCTGTGTCTGAATAAGTTATTGAGAAGAACGGAAGTTTTATTCACATACTGAATTGCTTCTACTTCCTTACAATACAGCTTTTAACAAGAAAAAATTGTTTATTTTCAATAGTATAAGATGGAAAATAGAAATCTCTTAATGACTCAATGCCACACACAAAGGCTCTCCCCTGTGTAACATACTGGAAGAATTACAAGACCAGCTACCTTTCCATCTCTTAAAACAAGTATGTTAGGCCACTGGTGAATGGGGCCCCTAGATTCCAGGGAAAGGAAGAGAAGATGCTGGGAAAATAGGCAGATTTAGCCTGACATGGTGATACACACACACACACACACACACACACACACACACACACACACACATGCAACTATAGCACTTGGGAAGTGGTGGCAGGAAGATCAGGACTTCAAGTCCAGCCTTGGTTCTACAGCAAGTATGAGGTCAGTTTGAGCCATGTGAGACCCTGCTTCAAACAGCAGCAAAAAAGAAAGAAAAGAAAGTCAATAGTAATAAGAAATGGCAGCAGAGTGGAGTGTAGTGCCACATTCCTAGAATCCTAGCATTTTGGAGGGAGGCTGAGGCAGAAGGATCATGTGTTCAAGGCTATTCCGGGCTCCACAGCAAAACCTTGTTTTAAAAAACACTCCAGGGGGCTGGAGAGATGGCTCAGTGGTTAAGAACATTGACTGTTCTTGCAGAAGACCCAGGTTCGAATCCCAGCACCCACATGGCAGCTAACAGCTGTCCATAACTCCAGTTCCAGGGGATCCAACAGCCTCTTCTGTCCTCCACGGGCATTGCACGACATGGGTGCGCACGCTCACCTACATACAGGCAATACACGCATACACATAAAAATAATAAATAAAATATTTTTAAAAACCTCCAAAATCCCCCAAAGTCACCAAAACAAAACCCCCAAACGAACAAACACAAAGAAGTCACAGCAATGGAGGGGAAAAGAAAAAAAAATCTTCAAAAATTGAGAAAACATGGCTCTCTGGGCTATTCCAGCCATTCCAATCAGCAGCACCTGGGAACTTGTTAGCAACTTAAAGCCTCAGGTACCTGCTGAATTTTAAGAAACACCCGAGGTCACTATAGGATCAGTAAAGCTTGGGGAGCCCAGTGTGAATCTATCACATTGATGACTCTGTGCTTTTTGTTGGGTTCTTTTGTGGTGCTGGGGATGCAACCCAGGATCTTCAGGCACGTTGAGCAAATGCTCTACCATAAGGCAACACTTCTAGGCCACAGTAATGACCCTGAATCACCAAGAAACAGTCACTGAAATGTACGTAAGTTCAATTCAAGCTAGGTTGGGGTGTTAAAGCTGGGGAGTCATGATGCTAGTAACTGTCACATACTGAATACTACTTCGAGCTTATTAAAAGCCATAGATCATTCAAATGAGTAAATCACGGCCTTCTTTGCTTAAGATTGGCCAGTTGGTTTCCATCACACTTAAAGGCAAGTCCAAACTGCTGCCACTGACCTGCCTTCCAGCAGTCACTCTCTTCCCCTCTCCAGGTTTCTCTGTCCATGGAAAAGGGACAAGGAATGCTTTTTGCCTCTATAATTCTAGACAAATGATGCATTAAAATAACTGTTTATGAAATAGTCAAATGTAGGATTGTAAATTAGAGTGTCTTGTGAATTAATCATAGGAGTTATTTTTAACCTTCAGAAGTTGAAACAAATCTCTCCTTTTTTGAGAGTCATGGCACTAAGTACATGTTGAAGTCTCACCCACTGAGGAGGTGACAACATTGGGAGAGTTGATCCAGAAATTAGTTTTATTTGTAAATTAGTTTTCTTTGTGATTCTAGATATTTAACAATTTGTCACATGATCAGCTTTAAAGGTCATTATTTTATATCTTCTACCGTTAAATAGACACAAAAATGTTTCTCTGAAAAAAGGTAAAGATTGTGAGGTTTTCCCTCCACCATTAGGGAACTCAGAGATTTATTGAAGGAGACCCCACTAACAGGAAATGAAGTAAGTAAGACTAAAACCTTGGTACAAGCTGGGTGAGTGACATATACTAGTAGACCCAAGTTACTCTAGAGGCCATGGCAGGAGGATCACTTGAGCCAAGAGTTCAAGACCAGCATGAGCAACATAGGAAGATCCCACCTTAAACAGATATAAAGCAAACAAACAAAAACAAATTTAAAAAATGGTACTAAAATGAAGCTTTTAGTTAACTAAAGAACCTTCACAGAGATCCTGAGACCCAGAGAAATTCTAAAAGTGAGCACCAAACAGTATTTCAGGACAAGGCCTCCTTTATAGTCTCAGTCAAAGACTGTGGAGTCCCAGCATGTGCATAAATGAGTTTAAATCCAGGCCCTGACTCGGTCTACTCAAGTATATAGATGGGCATCTTTCTCAGGGCATCAATTAACCCCATTAGATTCAAAGGCCATCCAATTTTTCCCAAAGGTTAAGTCATAAATTATTCGAATGCTACAGATTCAAATTTAAAATGAGGCACAGACTGACTAGAGGATTCCAAGAGACCGTCTCTCTCTCTTTCTAAAACTTGAATGTCATGATATTCTGAGGCAGCACCTAAGTGAAGCTTAGAATTTAAATATATTATGCTGTTTGCACTGAAAGACTTCCCAACATCCATATATCTTATGGTCTAAGTTGGAAATCAGAATAAAAGATGATAGTTAAATTATAAAAACAGATTACAATTTTTATACTTACCCAAATCATTTGTAAACTCATTGGATTCTTCTCCAAAAACTTTTTTCCCCAAACCTGGAAACTGAATGAGTCAGAGTTTGACAAAAACAAACAACAGCAAACCCCACCCGCACAGTCACTTCTGAACAGAGTTCCACAAACACAGATCTGAACTTCAGAAACTTCCAATTCTAGAAGCCAACTTGAGCATGAAAAACGTACTCAGTTTGGCCCAGTGTGCAGTTTTCTAATATTTTCCTCTTCCTTTGCCAGTTTTGAAAGTCCAAACCATGGCAGAGGTCTGGCTTCCCTATGTCCTGCCAGCCTTCTGTGTGAGGGGCATGGGACTGGGATGCTTGCAGAGAATATATTCTATTATTATTATTTTTTAATTTTATACGTATGAGTGTATTGCCTGCATGTGTGTAAGTGCACCCATGTCGTACAATGCCCATGGAGGTCAGAAGAAGGCATCGGATCCCCTAGAACTGAGTTACAGATGGTTGTTAGCCACCATATGGGTGCTGGGACTCAAACCTGGGTCCTCTGCAAGAGCAGTCAATGCTCTTAACTGCTGAGCCATCTTTCCAGCCCCGAGAATATATTCTAACCCTGCTCTTAAACATCATCCCATGGAACTTAATATTATTGATCAGATACCTAAAATCATTTCTTAAGTTGGAGAGAAGAGATTGGAGGGCAGCATTAGATTTTGTTCCCATTTTCAGGGATGTTTCTGCACCTGTCAGATGTACAACATTAGCCTTCATACTAGGAGATGATAGAGGAAAAAAGAAAAGAAGAAAAACTATTGACTCATAATCTATGCATTAATGTAGGGTAAAACAATGGATTCCAGTAAGGCCTGCCTCTCGTCTCTGTGAGATCAAGAAGCTTTCAAATAGATACATTTCCCTTCTCTCAAGAAAAAATTTTTTTCTCAAAATATATGCTAACTTCTGATATGCATGGTGTTTTCAGGAACAAAAGCAAAGAACTGCTTCAAATACTTTTGTAAAACAGTACAAATCTACAAGGGTTGGCAACCTGCCTATTCATCAGGACTGGAGCTCGGTCTCCCAAGCCTGATTAAAGACCTGTTTAGAATGCAGGATGGAGGGGTCCAGAAATAAAAACATTTAAAGCAGCCTAAATGGAAATCATTTGTTCATAAATTCTGGCATTACTTCATGAGTAAACAATTGCCTGGATGTGTTCTAACGTGTCAGGGCACATATTAACCCATAAAAAATAATGTTGATACATATCTAATTCAGCTGCTCAACCAGTCCTTGCAGCCAACTGTCTCCATCAGTAACAAACAAAAATAAGCTTGCCACATTTAGTTCACTGGAGCCAGTGTAGGGCATGAAAACAAATATATAGTTTGTGGAAATATTATTATTTATTCTCTTATCCTGCCTGCAGTCAAGATTTTACTTGATTCTAAAGGTGTCCTTAAATTTTAAAAAAATTCATTGAAAATATTCCAATATTTTATAAAGCTTTGTTATAAAGTTCTATCCTCCCAAATATGAAAAGAAAAGAAAACATATAAAAGACAATGTAGAATTATAAGAACACAGACTCTGGTTCAAAAACCATGCACAGCCATGCAACTTTAGGCAAGTTACTTAAACTCTTTGTGCCACCCCTTTTTCAACCATTATGTTGGACACATAGTTCTTACCTCATACAATTGTTACAGGTAAAATTAGTATACTTAAAGTCTAGCACACTGTAAGCATTTATAAGTGTCTGCTGGTATTACTATTTACAAATATTGTTTTTTTTTCTGGTCAGTTCCATACTTAGAATCACAATCACTATTAGTCACAACTAAAGAAAAGGGAGATTTTATCTAATTATGAGCCCATAACCAAGGCAAATATTAGAGAAACGATTTAGTTGAAAAGCTGAGACTTTATGCATGAAGTTAAAATCAGTCACAGAACAGCATACTTTTTCCTTGTGCTGAAATGAACCACACAGGTCACACAGGCTCCACCACACAGAAAAAGGTACCTAACAATTCACAGCAGTGCAAAGCTGTCATTTTCTCTAGTCATGGACTTGGTAGGGATCTTAATTTTGCATTGTTCCAGAAAACGTATTACTTATTAAAAAGAACCTCATCAATAAGTAAAAGGTTCAATGCAGAATGCTTACATGTTAGAATTGTGAGTGCTTCTTGTTTTCTGGTTTGCTTTTCTATACTTGAATGATTTCCTGCAAAGACCATTTTTGAACACTGTAATCAAAATAAGGGTGGGGACCCCAAGATGTCTATTTGAATCCAAGACATTCTGAGGGTCAGTAAAAGGCATGCTGTTGATTCTGTCGGGCCACAGAGGCAAAGATCTCATAGCTCCCTTGGCTGTGACCTCTTACCTTGTTCTCCATATTCTGTTTTATAACTTCCTGTACCAGCACATCGGCCAGGGTCTTGAAATCAACAGCAAACTTCTTGTTCTTCTCTCCATCTTTCTTCTCCTCGATGAGCAGCTGGAAGAGGGCGTCCTGCTGCCTGCACGCCCTGGCGATGTTGGCGGCTTTCTCGGAGACCCGGAGCAGCTCCTGGAGGATGTCTGACATTGCCGAAGCCTGCCTATCAGTCTCACCCACCTTCTGGCCCTCAGCTGGAAAAGCACAAGAATGTGAAAGAGAAAGCAGTTCAGAGAGCTAAGTCAGGGTGCCTCTCCCACTAACGCCCAGCTGGCAGGCAACTTGTCAGCAAGGCTGAACGGCTGCTGAGTACCCCGCCGCATCTTCAGCTTGTGGGATTGCAGCTACAGTCTAAAACTTGAAACTTAGTTCTCAAATCTTGTAAAACAACAATTACACTCTTAAAATTCGTTACTCAAAGACCTGAATTATCTGTGAAAGAAAACAAAATAAAATCTTTGACTAAGAATCGACATTCAACTTACAGATCCCTAGACAGAAAAACCACAAATCACAACGTTAATGAAAAGCCAGATTCCCAACGACCTTAATGATCCAAAGGGCTCAGCAGCAGGACTAAAGCATTGCTCTTTCTCTCTGTGAGCAGCCGGATGAGGGATGACATTCCTGCCGTCAGTTCTAGAGCAACTTTCTCATGTACTAAGTGGCAGGGCAGCAAGCACTGTAGTGTCTGAGGCCACTTTTGAGCAGCACAACCCATCTCGGGCCAACTTCATTCAGTTCCACCAAAGAAATACAGTGATCTGTGTGAACTGACTAGAAGCTTCTGTAATAAAGTGAAGTGAAGCTTGCAACTTGTCAGGGCTTGAGAAGTTCTGGCTTCTAAGAGTGATGTATCATGCCTGAATCTTTCTAGTGGGCCTGTCTTGCAATGGGGAAACATTCTTCACCTATTAATAGTGGTGCTCTCTCCTTGAAAGTGTAATTCAGATTTCATTCTTGTGAGAACTGCTGTGAAGATTATCTGCCCTGAGTTACAGTTAGGGAAACTGAAGCTTAGGGAGGCTGAGTAACTTTTTCAGGATTGCACAAGACTAAAAGGCGGGGTTCAGAATGGGTCATGCACATCACTGGGGCTCTTTATGATCACAAGAGACAGTTTCCTATATTAAAAGAAGCTTCCTGGACAGACTCTAGGAAACCGAGAATTCATGCAGCTATGAAAATGCTGATGCAGTAGGGCTCATGGTAAATGGTCATAGCTGGTTTTGTCTTAAGCTTGCTAAAAAAAAAAAATGTTTCACTTCTTAAGATTATGAATCAACCACCCTGAGAAATTATGTCCATCACCAGAAACTAAGGAAAAGTGAGTAAAATCATGAGACATTCCCCTCACCACTCTACATATTTCAATGTCAATGGTCATCTCTGGAGTGTCGTGGTAGAACAGGAGCCCACACTCTCCTATTGCATCTGCAAACCCATGGGTTTCCAGAAAGCAACTGACATAATTGTTTCAAAATCCCTACCCATGACACTCCCTCTTCTGTCAATAATGCCAGTCTTCCCTTAATTTGTGGTAAGGAAACCAGAATTAAAATATTTCTGTACAAACTGAATTGAAATCATCACAGTCGGAAAAACTTAAAAATAGCATGTTTGTTGTTTTTTTTTTTTCAGACATATTGCTTGTTCAGGCTGCCTCAAACTTGCTATAACTGAGGATGACCTTGAACTCTTGGGGCTCCTGTCTCTACTTTCTGAATGCTGGGATTATGGACATGCATCACTGTTCTAGTTTGCTTTCTGTTGTTGTGATAAACGCCATGACAAAAAGCAACTTGGGGAGGAAAGGGTTTATTTGGTTAATACTTCCAGGTCACAATCCATCATTAAAGGAAGTCAGGGCGGGAAGTGAAGCAAAAACCATAGCAGAATGCTGCTTATTGGCTTGTTCTCTGGCTTTTGCCTGCATTGGGGATGGTACCACCCAGCATGGGATGGGTCATCCTATATCAATTCACAAATAAGAAAATATGATATGCCCACAGGCTAATCTGATCTAGTCAATTCTTCAATTGAGGTTCCTTCTTCCCAGGTTTTGTCAAATTGACAATAAAAAGTAACCAGGACAACCACCACAATGTCTGGCCAAAAAGTAATTGTGTGTGTGTGTGTGTGTGTGTGTGTGTGTGTGTGTGTGTATGTATGTGTGTGTGTGTGCACAAAAGTGTGTAGCGTTCATGTGTATGCTGGTGCATGGTATGAGTGTAGATAGAGACTACAGGTTGACATCAGGTATCTTCTTCAGATACTTTGCCACTTCGTTTTTGAGACAGGGTCTCTCACTGAACCTGACTGACTGACCAGCAAGCCCCAGGGATCTGCCTGTCTCTGCCTCTTCCTCACTGGGATTACAGGTGTGGGACACTGCTTTTTACATGAGCACTGGGATCAAACTCAAGTCTTCCTTGTGCATAAGCATTTTACTGACTAAGCCATCTCTGATCCCTCAAATAATCTTAATAGCAAAATATAAGACTACTATGTGGTCTGTAAATCATGGTTTTGAAGAATGCTTAATCATAAGGAAAGATATGAATGCTGTATCAAGTACAAAACGACCTATGACCATAACATATATATGTTATCAATTTGTGTGTTAAGAGAGAAAGAGAAAGAAGAGAGAGAAAGAGAAAGAGGGAGAGAGAATGAAACTAATAGGTGATGTTTTAGAGGTAATTGCTTTATAGTGAAATCGAGGATTTAAGTGAAATTTTATGTAATTTTCAAATATTCTACAGTAAATATATAGTGTACATAATTTATTTTATGTCTCATAATTCTTATAAGAAACAACATCATTTATTTAGTGGTTTGATTGTTTTGTTTTGGTTTTTTTTTTTCCCTTTGAACTGAGCCTTGGGTCTTGCACATACTAGACAAATGTGACCGCTCCAGCCCTGTTTTTGCTTTTTGATACCTGAGATGGTTTCACTAAGTTGCTCAGGCTGGCCCTGAACTTGATATATATAGTCCAGGAATACTTTGAACCAGTGATATTCTTTCCTCAGCCTCCCAAATAGCTGGGATTACAGGCGTCTAGCTAAGAAATTACATTTTAAAAAAGTAAGGATGAAGCCATAAGAATTAATGAATTCCTTGATGCAGTTGTCCAAACAAAATGTGCCTATGTAGTAACACGAAAACTTTTGGAACTACAAATGATATAGCTAGTATCTAAACAATCACATCTTAAATGCCTTTTTACTCAGGACCAAGTCATTTGTTAGAAGATTCACTTTTCTTTGACATGAACCTATACATTAAGAAAGACAGTTGTATTAATAATGTAAAGCCACTTGGACTTAGAAAATTTATGGCATCTACTATATAGCATACTTGCCAAAAATGATAAGTTAAAAATCAATATACTATATATATATCCTCACTATAACATATGAGCCCCAATAATACAAATTCAATAACCATATTTTTATTTATTAGCAAATAAACTGCATTATTTTAAGGAGAAAGAATTGATGAACTAATAGTATCTAAATTCTTTGTTATTTTAAAAGCAGCATGGGGATACAAAGGAATCTATTTTGAACATGAGTGAAATAAACATCATGAGAGTTCTTTATCACATTCAACTGTGTTGAAACCAATGTTTATTTCCTTGGTATCTGAAAAGACAGTTACACTTTTGGGCAAATTTCTACATAGCTGCCTCTGGGAACCTAGAGTTCCTCTTCTTTTAGCCCTGGCTTACTTCTTTAGTGAAGACCATTCTCACTATCTGAGCAGAAGCTGCTTAGGAAGCATGGCAACTTTGCCAAAGGGAAAGCACTTTCTGCTGTGGACGCAGCCCTGAAATGAACAGGGAGTACAGGCTTTAGAAATGCAAAGCACCATCAACTGACTTCAGTTCCAAAGTCATCCTGCATCAACCTTAACCTCTCTTCTTTTGACCCATGGCATCACTGTCATATTTTGTCAGCCTCCAGATGGAACTGCCCCTTTCAGTTGAGACTTTCTCCCACCAGCATTTCTAACCAGCACACCATTTCTGCAGCTAGCTCCTTTTCTCCAGGTCCCAAGTCTGGAAAAAAGAAAATCTCCTATGGCTTACACGCAAACTTTCTAAATTGCTGGCACAATGGTATAGCTTTGTAGTCCTTGTTTTTTGGAGGTGAGGCAGGGGGTTGCTTAAACCCAGCTAGAACAACACAGAGAGAGACCCCCTGCCTCAAAACAACTTTCTAAAAAATTGGCACACCTGACCTACTACTTTCTGGCTGAACAGATGATTTCTTTCCCCCCAAACTCATCCTCATATGCTTCTTAGCTCCTGCCTTATCTCTGCTCATCTATCCTGAGCTCTGATTCATGCAGAAAGAAGGGAACCCTGGGCATGTCATCCGTACCTGGGACACTTGAGACCAGTCATCTATGGAAAAACTGGGAGTAACACCAGTACAGAATTTCTTTAGTTTTCTATGGAAAGTATCTTTCAGATGACTTGAAAAAGCAAAGTTACACATCCTCCTTACACACTATGGCCTTCATTTTAGGGTCAGTTGGCACTTGGTGGCAGGAATTTTAATGGAACCTTGTAGGTAGAAGAATTGTTATCATTACTTATGTGCAGGATTAAACAGAGTTAGTTATTATTGTTTGGATTTTTGTTTGGTTGGTGTGTGTGTGTGTGTGTGTGTGTGTGTGTGTGTGTGTGGAGATCAGACCCAGAGCCTTGAGCATGCAGGTTAAATAGTCTACCACTGAGCAACATTTCCAGTTCTTAGATTTTTGAGATGGGGTCTCACAATGTAGCTCAGGCCCGTCTTAAACTTAGTTTGAGCCATATACATCACTATTTAATTGGCACTGGATTTCCCTTTTACTCTCAGAAAAACTCTTTCCTCGGTTGTTCCTCAGCCTCACTGTAAAGTGCTCTACTAAGTACTTATGTTCCAATGATGTCTGTCTTAACCAACTGCATGGCACTGATGATGGAGGCCAGACAGGAGCTTTGACCATGGCTAATGCCTACTTTTTCTTGTACTTATTTGCTGTTTAAGACTGGGTGGCTTCCAGAACAGAAACTTGTTTTCTGGAAGCTCTAGAGGCTGGCAGGGGCCCCTCCTGTCTGTGTCCTCACCTGGCCTCTCCTTTGTGGGCATGAATCTCTGGCATTTCTCCCTCTTCTCATAAGGACTCCAGTCAGGTT